AAAGTGCTGTTGCTGCCACATCTTAACAAAAAACATTGTATTTTACGCAAACCTTGACTAAATCAAATGAAAAAAAAAATCCTAATTGTATATTTTTATGTTTTCTCAAGCAAAGCAAATTGTTTAAGTCCACAGAAAACATATCTTACTAAATTTCTTGCCATAGACAAAGTGTGTTGAACAGCCCTACATTTAAATCAACATTGCATTTTTTATTTGTCGTCTCTGCTAAATTAGACTGCATTCCCAGTTAAAGAAATAGAGTATATACATTATACAGTATACAGTATATAATGTATAGATGGCAAGAACATAGTATAATGCACTCTGGGAATAAGCTAGTGAAAACTTGTGAAGGTCGTGTGCAGTATCAGTAGTGTTAGATTGGGCACATAAAATAATAATGCCCAGTCAAAGTGGCATCTTTGAATACATTCAAACCTGGAAGTCTGCAAAGGATCTGCAATAAAAACTGAAATTTATTGACCAAACCGTTGTGTGAAAACAGTATGTGTGTATTCGAGTGGGTCTGTGTATGTGTGTGTATTAGGAATCAATGATTCTTGGGCAATATACCATGATGCTGTATAGAATGGAGCGCACAGGGGAGTGTTATCTGGGAATCTTTCAATAGAGCCAGTGAGTTGTTTGATGTAAAGCACTATTGGGAGCCAGTCAGGTAAAACTAATGACTGCATAAAAAGGTGAGTTTAAATCACAGGTTCCCCCGATAGGTGTGACATGGACAGTCAATGTGGAGCTACATTAGTAGTCCAGCCGTGTCCAGTGTAGCAGATGAAGAGTTTAATATAAATAGGAGGAAGTAAAAGTTGAATGTACTTTTCTTGGATGTATTTCACCTTTGATTATAAATAACTCCCTCCTTCAGTGAGGACCCACACAGTTGTAGTTTAAGACCCGGTTAATTGTGCTGTCAGACCTGCTCAGTCAAACACATGTACAAGCCGCCTGTTCAAGATCCGGCCCTCTCGTTCCTCAGATGGTTGCTTGATTGGATGTGTCTGACAGGTAGTTAATTTCCCAGACTGAATAGTCTTGGCTGTAACATTGTGGTGTGAGATTCTCCAGTCTATGGCAGTGATTAATGATGACGCCCTGTGTGTTGTGTGTTTGTGTGCCTGTGTGTGTCTGTAACAATAGATTTGAGCTGTACAGCATTGGAATGGAGTGATGTAGGAATAGTTTAAATGTGCTCTATTAATCAAAGTAGTTACAGTAAACTTTCTAGAATTTACCTGCAGTTAACTTTTTATTAAAAGGCAAGATGTAATAAAACATATAGTCTCATATGCTCATCAACACTCTTAAAAATAAAGGTTCTTTGTTGACATTGATAGTTCCATGAAGAACCTTCACCATCCATAGAACCTCTCCATTGCATAAAAGGCACTTTTAGTGGAAAAAGGTCCTTTAGATTATTAAAATGATTCTTTATTGAACTGTTCACTTAAGGGATCTTTTCTTCTATGGCATTGCTGTGAAAACCCCTCTTTTGGAACCTTTATTTTTAAGAGTGAAGGCTGAATTTATTGGATCAAAATACGGTAAAAACAATAATATTTTAAAATACTATTTGTGACGAGTGGGGGCGGGGCCGAGAGCCATGGGAACGGAGCGAGGCCGGTGGAGTGATTGCTAATGAGGGACACCTGCACCCACTCACCGGTCTCGAGTCTCACGGAGGAGCTCCGGAAGGATAAAGGAGGAGTGACTACAGTGTTGGACGAGAGAGGACCAGGCCTGGATTTTATTTTGTGTTTTGGTTTCGTTTGTGCGCGACAGTCGTCCGCGAGGGGCTGCCGCGCTATTTTGTGCTTATTTTATTAAAGTTTATTTAAACGTCCGCCGGTTCCCGCCTCCTTCTTCCCGTGACTAAGAACTGTGTTACATATATGTTTTTTTATAATAATATAAAGTATTCTTAAAAGTATACCAACAGGTTCCCCCGATAGGTGTGACATGGACAGTCAATGTGGAGCTACATTAGTAGTCCAGCCGTGTCCAGTGTAGCAGATGAAGAGTTTAATATAAATAGGAGGAAGTAAAAGTTGAATGTACTTTTCTTGGATGTATTTCACCTTTGATTATAAATAACTCCCTCCTTCAGTGAGGACCCACACAGTTGTAGTTTAAGACCCGGTTAATTGTGCTGTCAGACCTGCTCAGTCAAACACATGTACAAGCCGCCTCTTCATGGTCCGGCCCTCTCGTTCCTCAGATGGCTGCTTGATTGGATGTGTCTGACAGGTAGTTAATTTTCCAGAATGAATAGTCATGGCTGTAACATTGTGGTGGGAGATTCCCCAGTCTATGGCAGTGATTAATGATGATGCCCTGTGTGTTTTGTGTTTTGTGTTTGTGTGTGTCCGTAACAGTAGATTTGAGCCGTACAGCATTGGAAGGAGTTAGTGATGTGATGTAGGAATACTTGAAATGTGCCGTACTCCAAATTATGTTTCATCTTGAGTGTCACAATTTTATGTAAAATTTTATCTTTTTTTTCTAACATGGGAATATCATGGGATGTGTGCCTCTTGTGCTTTTAGAAAGTCAGTGTACTGTAAACATGAAAAGTCTCCACTAGCATTTTAACATAGATTGCAGAGATCTGGATCTTTTAATTGCTCTTCAGGGAGCATGAAATGATTGTGCAGTTCTCAAACCCTGACAGTCTGAGACTTAATATTCCTTATAAGAAAAATAGGAACATAAATGTTTTTACAAATAAAAAAGAGCCTATGAGCTCTATTAATATGAAAGGGTGCACAAAATTTGGGTTTGCAGCCATGTGTCAGTGCGTGCATGTGTGTATGAGTATGTGTGCTCTTGCATGCTTTTATCTTTCTGCTGCTGGCCACACTTTGATGGTGTGTGTTGCTTCTGTAGTTTCCATCCCTGTCAGATCCTGGTTAGAGGAATCAAAGTCCGACCGAGCCAGTCATAGTGATTTGAGGCCCGCATCAGAAGGAAACACTGAGCCAAGTAATTTTGCCAGCGTTTATGAAACGGATGGTTTTGGAATGTGGCCTCATAACACCTCAACAAGAGGATGAGGCCGCCCTTCTGTCTTCTCTGTGAGTGTGTGTCGTACGATAGGCTGTTGTATTTACTCATCATTATTAACCAAAGTGCTGCCCATTTCTCCAGCAGCCATCTGGAAAAGAAAGGTGACTTGTGGGCCCTGGCTCAGCTGTTTGCTGCCAACTCATGCACACTTACACTAACACGCAAACATTTGTTTTTCTGTCACGACAGGGGCAGTCAGATTTATTTATTTATTTATTTGTTGATAGAAATGCTGACTTTTATTGAGCAAGGACATATAAATTGATCAAAAGTCTAGTACAGACATATATAATGTTTCAAAAGATTTCTATGTCGAATTAATGCTGTTATTTTTTAACCCTAAAACAAAATGAATGACACAAAAATATGTACTCATTTTCAACATGAATAATAACAGTAAATGTTTCTTGAGCAGCAAATCAGCATTTTATAATGATTTCTGAAGGATCATGTGACTGATGTAATGGCTGCTGAAAATTTTGCTTTTGATCACAGGAATGAATTAAAATATATTACAATAGACAAGAATTATATTGAATCAAAATAATATTTTAAAATATTACAATTTTTACTGTATTTTTGATCAAATAAATGCAGGCTTGGT